CTTGGGAAGCTTTAAAATCAAGATACGAGAATGAACGAATATTGGTCGATAAGCAGATAACAATTTTAATGAACTTGCCAAAAATTCAAAAGGAAACCAGTGAAGAATTTATCAGACTTCAATCCATGGTTTCCAATTGTTTGTCGATTTGATCATTCCCACAAACAACTGGGACCCTATACTGGTAAATATATGCATAGAGGCATTACCAGAAAAGTCATTATTATTGTGGGCGCAATCGCTCTTCTCACGAAAAAAATGCCCAACGTGGTAAAAAATGAGAGATTTTGTCACTACCCAGTACGAAATCGCAGAACGGGTATTCAGCAAGACTTCAGTAGAAGCATCCACAGGCCCCAAGCCAAAAGCAACAACAATTTGAACAGAAGCTTCTTCAAAACGCAATCGTTCTCATCTGTACAAGAGGACATAAGCTCAAATCTTGCGAGAGATTTAAAAACTCGAATATTATCGACCGCAACAATTTCGTGAAAATCAAAAGACTTTGTGCAAACTGTCTGTCACATGTATGCGCTCAAAGAGTGCGAAAGCAAATTTAACTGTGTCTATTGCCATAAATGACACCTTTCGATGCTTCATATAAATAATTTTTGCAGCTTACCCAAAAACCGCGCAAATATCAGAAGAGCCACGGGTTTAGTTGCAAGAACAAATCCCGAAGTGCCAAATCGACAAAATTGCTAAGAAGCAGCATGTTGCTCAAATTCATTAAAAACTCAAACGCTACACAGCGAAATTCAAAGTAGGGTACTACTATCCACAGTAGTACTACTATCGAGCATCGATGAGAACCGTTTAAGCTAAGGGTCCTAATAGACCAAGGATCACAACGATCTTTCATAGCGTCTAGGCACAAAATAGGCTAATCTGCCAACAAAACGAGCTAACTTTGAAATTACGGGAATGGGCGGAAGAGTAGTTCAAAACTSTAATAAAATCTACCCCATTACCCTATTTTTCCATCAAGCGGATATAGAATACAAGCAGAAATAATATAAATAGCAAGCATTGGGAAAAGGCTTCACACCTTAAGTTAGCAGATCCCAACTGCAACACCCCCGCTCAAATAGACCTTCTATTAGGCAGCGATCTCATACCATAGATAATACTCGAAGGTATTGCACAAAAGAATATTTTCGGTTGTATACTAAGTGGACTAGTTACGGAACCAGTCACAACAATGGCAACTCAAGTTGAGGAAATGTCAAACGAGTACCTCAATTTACAATTGAGAAAATTTTGGGAGATAGAACAACTCCCCCCCATTTCAATCACAACCCCTAAAGATCAGTATTGTGAAGACTCTTACAAAGCCACAACTACTAGATCAAATAATGGTCGGTACCGTTACCGCTAAAACTACAATTTCCCAACACAATCGCCTTAAGTCACTCTCGCACCTCTGCAATACAGCAGTTTCTAAGTATGGAAAGAAACCTACTTAAAAAAGGTGAACTCAAACCAGAATATGATGGTGTATTGGAAGAATACCTCCATTTAGATCACATGGAGGAAGTAAGCCCGTGCGAAAAAATCATCAATGGCAAACACTACTAATTTTACTTGCCACATCATGCAGTAGTA